ATACATATATATGTATATATATAACATTTATAAATGTTTTTATATATCTCACATACTATTTTTTTTTTAATTTTTTTTTCAACGTTTATTTATTTTTGGGACAGAGAGAGACAGAGCATGAACGGGGGAGGAGCAGAGAGAGAGGGAGACACAGAATCGGAAACAGGCTCCAGGCTCTGAGCCATCAGCCCAGAGCCTGATGCGGGGCTCGAACTCACGGACCGCGAGATCGTGACCTGGCTGAAGTTGGACGCTTAACCGACTGCGCCACCCAGGCACCCCTCACATACTATTTTTAATAAAACAGCTTTTCCCTACTGATCAACCACAAATATATTTGCATATCAATAGGTGAATTTTTGTAATGTTTGGGGGCATCATACCATTTTATTTGGGATAAATCATAATGTAACCTAACGTTGGATGTTTGTTTCCAACTTTTTACTATTATCAAAATACATAAAGTTTTGCAAACACAAAATATTCTTAGGATAAATTTCCAGGTTTAATGGGTCAGAGGGCTACACATTTGAAGACTTATGTGTCGTAAAATTGCCCTTCAGAAAAGCCATAACAATGTATACCCCCATCTGCAGAGTATAAGATTGTCTATTTTTCAAAACCCTTCCCCAAACTAGGTATTTTTTTTTAAGTAGGTCGATAGTCCTTGCACATGATGAAATCCTTCTCCTTCACACAAATCGCTCAGCCTCTTCAGCCTAACTGGCTGTAAGTGGACTTTAAGATATCAGAGAAGAAAAAGAAAGGTGATGTGCTTCTACGTAGGGAAGTTACCGTAACGACAGATTGCTAAGAAATAAATTTGTATCCCTACCCTACTTCTGGTAGGCACGTATCTCCGGGGCAATAGCATGTCTTGCTGATGGCAAACACCTTGATTTTCACACGTGGTTGAAAGATAAATTAATTTTTTTTCCTCTTTCAGAATGTCAGATCTAGATGATCCTTAACAGAGCCGTCTAGTCCTTCATTTCATAGATGGGAAAACGGTGTCAGAGAGAGTGAGTGAGGGAACTTGCCCAAGATGCCACTGGAAATTAGTGGCAGGGCCAAAGGGTTGGGTAAAATTACTGCTAAGTTCTGTTTTTGTTCTGTCTGTGACTCTTCCACTTAGAACAACATCTGAGCCTGGGTGGCTCAGTTGGTTAAGCATCCAACTCTTGATCTTGGCCCAGGTAATGATCTCACAGTTCGTGGGATGGAGCCCCATGTTGGGCTCAGTGCTAACAGCATCAAGCCTGCTTGAGACTCTCTCTCTCTCTCTCTCTCTCTCTCTCTCTCTCTCCCCCTCAAAATAAACAAACTTTAAAAAAAAGAAGAATAGTTGAATAGAAAATCCCCCTTCCCCCAATATCCACTCTTCTAAATCTTATGCCTTAAGGGCAGCAACTGCAGATTACAGAAAACAATTGCTTTTGCGTTTCCATCTATGCTTTGTCTGATTCCAGGAATGTCATGAGTGAATGGCATTCCTTTTCCCAGTAAATGAGGCTGATGGTACAAACGGTCGGATGAGGGTTTGGTTCATAGGTACAAAAGACCTCCGAAGCAATCCCAAACCAAAAAAGGCATACCCTGAGGGGTATGAGTACTGACTTGTGTCAGGTCCATTTCTCCTGGAAAGATAAAGATGCCGCTAATTAATATAGAGATGTTGGGGTTTGACGAACGTATATAACATCCACAACGGAAGTCAAGTTGGGGGTGGGAGGAGGGGAGAGCGATTAGAATAAAAATAGATAATTATGCATAGACACCTGTGGCGTTGGCTACGGAATGGCCGATGGGTTGGATCAACTCATAGAGGGCTTGGTATGTCCCGAATACACACCCCAAAAGGCCCAGGATGCTGATCATGATGTCCTTTGCAATGGTGACACAGCTCATGTCTTCAGGATAAAAGGTGATGAGCTCCAGGAGGGGCGGGATGATGAGGGCCAGGGCGCTGCTGCTCACAGAGCCCACAAAGGAGATGACCAGGTCCAGGCGGGGGATGAGGATGGCTGAGACACCTGCAACGAGAGAAGAAATTTAGAATCACTGAGTGTTCCTGCAAGAAGGGAGCTCAGAAACAAACCATTTCTTTGGAGCCTGATAGCCCCACAGATGCCTGACCGAGCATTTTGGGAAATGATGGTGGGAAATGATGGGAAAATGGGAATAGTGGGAAAAGATCCCATCGAGGACGTGAACAGTAGGTCAGGCACTGTGGCTCTGGACTCCCACCTCTGTTTTAAAGACCAATGTAGGTGCTCTCCTTTTATTTTTTTTAAAGCTTATCTATTTATTTTAAGCAAGAGAGAGCACAAGTGGAAGAGAGAGAGAGAATCCCAAACAGGCTCCATGCTGTCAGCGTGGAGCTCGGCACGGGGTTTGAGCCCATGAACTGTGAGATCTTGACCTGAGCTGAAATCAAGAGTCTGACACTTCACTGACTAAGCCACCCAGGCACCTGGGTGGCACCCCTCCTTTGGGTTTTTCACATATCATAGTTGTTAGAAAGTCTCCTCTACCACTTATCTATTATTACGTTCTCATTAAAGAGATGGGGAAATCTAGAGGTCTAGAGGGAATGAGATGTGGCCAAGGTCATACATTCTCTGAGATGAGAATCCATTGAAATGCCTATCTAAGCCTCTTTCTGCTCCACTATGCTGCCTCCCTTGTATATGAAAGAACTTGGTATATAGTAAGTGCTCAATAAACGTTTGACTCTTACTCAGACACTGAATCTACTGTGAATCTATACTACTCTACAAAACACAGCTACTGTCTAGAAGCAAGAATGAATAAAAAATGAGAGATGGATTTGTTGTCAGAATCTCAACCACTTGTTTCCCTACTCCTAGAAGGATCCTGGTAAATTAAAAAGAACATAAAACAGCCTTAGGCTGTCTGCTCCCTCCTCTTCTCTTCTCTTTCATTCTTTCTCTTCCTCCAGGCGAGTCCAATTTCAATAATGTTTGAATGAACAAACATACAATTCATGTGACTTCACTTTGTACAACCATATGATTTTCCTATGAACAAATTAGGGAAAAAACTGCCCTGGGAAGCACCCATACTAGCTTCCTGGATCTGAAGAAAACATCACCTCTTTCTGAAATTGCTGCAACACATCCAAACAGAGAATGAGAGAGACTCATCAACTCTTGCAGGTGAGAATTCATCACCCCTCTGATGGGATGGTCCTGTCCAGTTTTCCCTCCTCAGGTATTTGATAAATTGCTTACTGGAGAAGGCACAGAGAAAGCTCAGTGTCCTCCCAGAGAGCTCACACTGACAGGGCAGAGAAAATATGTTATAGTAAAGCTATAATGCAAGATAGACTGCAGGAGTTCTCTAGAAGGTTCATATCTGGTCATGCCAACCCACTGCTCACAGATCTTTCGCGGTTCCCCGTTGCCCAGTCTCCTTAGCACAAGGTCCCTGATGACTTGGGCCCTTCCAGATCCTCAGGCTTTGTGTCTTATCACTCCCCGCTGCTTTTAGTTCTCCAAAGAGGCCATAAGTACTTACCTCAGATCTGTGCATAGCGTGCTTCCTACACGTGGTACATTCTTTACTCCTCCTCTACCTCCTACTTGTCTCTTAGGTCTTAACTGAACCATCATTCCCCCGGAGAGGACTTCCTGACCTGGCCTAGGCTAAAGCATAGGACCTTTGTGTGCTTTTAGGGCATCCTCCTCTTATGATCTTAACCATCATATGTTACATCATTATGTACCCTCTTAACACTGATCACAATGCAGTATAATTATTTCCTTGCATATGTTTCTTACTCGATGGTAAGCCTCATGAGGGCAGGCGCCATGTCTGCTTTATTATTCATTATTGTATCCCGGGTGCCTAGCACAATAGTAGGTGCTCAACAAATGACTGTTGAATGAATAAGGAATAATGGAACTGACAGATGAATAAAGGAAGAGGAAGTGGTCACCCATGGTATAACAGAAGCAGTGCATATCATTAGAAGGTCAGCTCTGTCTAGCACTGCCTTCCCTGATCTCAAGTGGCCTCAGTTTTTCTCTTCAACTTAGACCATTCCTACTAGGAATGATCTCAAAACAATAGAGCTACAGGGCCCAAATGTCCTGGGTACATACTGGAAACTCTGTGATACCTTAAATCGAGCAGGAGTGCTGTTTCTGCCAATAGAACTCCATTTATGTGAAGCGTAACATCGGATAGCATATTCTTCTGCTAGAAGGCTCCTAGAATTACACAATTTCTCCTGACCCTGAACCGAGACTGGATTTCCTCAACTTTAAACTCTGACTCCTGGAGTCTTTAAGACTTCATTTTCTCTCTCTCTTGCACAGTATCCCACAGGTGTTTAAAGACAGATATTCCTTAAGGACAGATACAGAAATTCCCCAAGGCTTTGCTTCTCTAGGAAAAACATCCCTAGTTCTTTTTCCCTTTCCTCACGGGGCACCTTTTCTCATTTCCTTTCTCTGGACATGCTTCAGAGAAAACATTCCCCAGCCTGTTCATGATGTTTCCCAAACATCTACAACAGCGCCTAATGTAGGATGAAAGAGTGAATAAATGAATGGAAGGAAGCATTAAGGAAGGAAGATCGGAGGGGGAGAGGAGAAAAGATTGCACCCCAAAAATGATCGCTAAGACTATAACAAATCAGCCTCTTGTTTTCCCCTGCAGTTCAACACCACTCTAGATAAGTGCCTCGATCTTAATTTAGGATAGGAAGGAATATGGCACGTGATGGAAAACAGACTTAGGTGCTACACGACCTGTGGCTCAAACCCCAGCTCTGTCACTTAGCAGCTCTGTGATCTGAGTGTGTCACCCAACTTCTCTGGGCCACAGTTCCTCCTGTCGGTGATATTACGTCGCTAAGCAGTCATGAGTATTCGACAATGTCAGTATGGTGCCTGGCATACATACAGCAGGCATATAGGAGCGTGATTGAATGAATGGTATTTTTTTTTTCTCCCGTAAATCAGCCAGTGTCTACTTTCCATGTGTAGGCAGCAGAGATGTCTGCAACATGTGATGGTTCTAGTAAGCCCGTTTTTCAGGTGGAAAGTTGAGGTTCAGGGAGGCGAAGTGTCTTGCACAAGGTCGCAAAGAAGGTAAGTGGCAGAGCCAGTGATAGTGGGACAGACGCCAGTGTGGCTCACAGGCACAGCTTTGGGCAAAGGGTGCCCTTTTATCCTACTCACAGGTCAGACAGACCAAGGCTATGCGGACAGACAGGTCTACAAACAGCGTCCACCTCTCTGACACCTGGGAGACGGCGAAGGGGAGGATGATGTCGGCCGGGACGTGGAACTGGAGGGCGTAGGTGAAGAAGATGCCAATGGAGTAGAGCAGCTTAACCGACTGATACAGCCTGCAGAGAGATGGATAGGACGTGAAATGTAATGTGGCTCTGGGAAGGGCCATTCAAGACTCGCTCATTGCTCAGAAGCTGGTACCTTGTCACTGAGTCACCGAACTGGCTAACTTCCATTGACTCGGGCTCGACCCGCCATTAGAGCCACCTGGGAAGCTTCTAAAAGTGCACGTTCCTGGAGATTCTGATTCAGCTGGCCTACGGCTCAGGAATCTGTGCCTTTTATTCTTAAAAAATACACTTTTATTCTTAAAAATACACTTCTTAAAAAAAGTGTATCTGTATAAAGTTTCTAGTTCAAAAGTCATGCAGTGAAAAGCTTCCCTCCCACCCTTAACTCCCAGCCTCCAGTTTTTCTTTCCGTAGACAACTCCTCTAACAGTTTTCTTGTAGCTCTTTCAGAAATAATCAGTGTATATACAAGCTTATACCAAACGTATACACGCTTATACACACGTGGTCGCATCCTCTATATAATGCTAAGCTCCGTTTTTGTTCATTAGATATTTCTTGGAGATTGCTTTCTTTCTTTTTTCTAAATTTTATTTGTTTATTTTGAGAGACAGAGAGAGAAAGAATCCCAAGCAGACTCTGCACAAGCGGGGGAGGGGCAGAGAGAAGGAGAGAGAGAATCCCAAGTAGGCTCTGCACCATTTGCACAGAGCCCTATATGGGGCTCAGTCCCACGACCTGGGAGGCCATGACCTGAGCTGAGATCAAGAGACGCTTAACCCCACTGAGCCACGCAGGCACCCCTCGGAGATTGTTTCCTAGTAGTCCACACAGATGTGGCTTCTATTTAATAGATGCTTGGTATTCCTACAGCATATACTATAATTTTTTTGACGAGTCTTCAAATCATGGATATTTAGATTATTCCCCGTCTTTTGCTGGTAAAGAATGCTGGGAAGTATACCCTTGCACACAGATATCTATGCACATTTAGCATACAACCTGAAAAGTATAAATGCTGGCTAAAAGTATATGCGATTTAAACTTTTGAGAGCTACTGACATACTGCCCCTGTGTTGTCCTAGCGTATAGAAGTACTTGCTTCCCCACATCCTTGCCAAAACACAGCCTGTGAATGTGTGCTGGTCTTTGCCATTCTGGTTTTTTTTTTTCCCCTGGCATTTCTGTTATTATGAAGGAAACAAATGATCTTTTCAAATGTATAAAATGCTATTTAAAAAATCTGCCTGTGAACTGTGTGCTCATGCCCATCGTTTTCTTGGGCTGTGGGTCTTTCTCTTATTGGGAAGGGGTACTTGTCTAAGGCTCCTCTGGGGAAGCTGAAGGCCAGCCAGGTTCAGAGCAGGTGTGACGTGCTCATGGGCTACGTTTTCCAGCCGAGGTCCCCGTAAGGAAAGTGCCCTGCCCAATGTAGCTAGCGGCAGCCCGAACTGCCCTGACCAGGAACAGAGTATTAGAATGATGTCTTACTGGTGTAATGTAAGTCGTGACTTCAAAGAAATCCCATATTATTATCCCATGCCTTATTCCACCACCGCACAATGAGGTGGGTGGGCTGGTGATATTTGTCTCATTTTACAACTGTGGCCTTGTGGGAAATGAATGCCCCGTCATTCTGCTCCCCATGAAAGAACAAGGCTGTGGGAAGACACAGCGATGATCGTAGCTAATACTCGATGAGTACTTACTCTGTGCCAGATGCTTTTCTAAGCATTTTATGTGCATTAAGCCAGTTAATCCTCACAATCACTCTTCGAGATCATGTGACAGTCATTTGTTTCTGCTGTTCACCAGTGCTTCCAGTTCTTCCAGACAACTGGTAGAATTTCACTTCTTCGCCCCCGGGAGTGAGGTGTGGCCCTGGGAGCTGTTTTGACCAAGGAAGTGCAAGCAGAAGAGATGTATGTCACTTCCCAGGGAACCTTTAGCAGCTCCATGGTGAAGGGCATGATTCACTGCATTCTGCCATGGCAACGTTTCAGGGAGTGGCTGTCTCAGCATTCTGTGTCCTGGGGAGGGGATGGTGCAGAGCTGAGCCCCAGCCACCCCGTAAGGGGCGGGCAACTTGAGCATAGAATCAAGCGTGTGTGTGTATTCAGCCACGGAGATTTTGGAGTTGTTTATTACTGGAGCATAACCAAGCCTAGACAAATAGGCATTAGTATTATCCTCATTTTACTGAGGATGGGAATGAGGTCTGCAAGATGAGGCAGCTTGTCCAGGGTCACATAAGAACCAGGATGCAAATTCCTTTACTTAGTTTTGAAACCTTTGCTGTGAAACGCCTGGCTATACTGACTGCCTAGTCACAATGCACTCACTACAGTGCCGGAATAATGAGGATAGCTCACACTCGATGATGCTATGTGCCAGCCCCCCCCCCCCCCCAGATTGGTACCTGGAAGAATGAATGAACGCATGCATAAATAAATGAGCGATCAAATGTAAAAACTCCAAAACTAAATCCCCACTGGAGCACAGCAATGGCAGCCTAGGCCCATTTCTGGAACCGGGGGCCTGAGTAGTGATCCGTGGGCAGGACCCCCAGTCATCGTTTCGGAGTTATACTTTTTGTTGTTGCTGTTTGTGTTTCCCAAACACTCCCAGATCGTTTCATTTTAGGGTCTTTAAACCACAGAGTCGGACAGATTCAGTTTCAAGTTTCAGCTTCTCACACACATTGTGAGCTGGGGAAGTTGCACACAGCCTCTCCAAAGAGCAACTTCCTCATCCATTAAACGGAGCTGATGATAATGGTAACTCGTAGGGCTGTTGTGAGGACTCAATGGGACAACGTACAATGTCTGGATTATCACACCTACCTGTTATTATAATACTAATATTAGCAGTTAATATCTGGTGCTAACGATAACCCTAGGGGATGCCATGTTCTGTTGCTGAGGCTCAGATCCCGTGACTCACCTCCCCTTCTCCCCCCAGGCAGGCAAGGATGGGCGTACCAGCAGTTGGGCAAGTTGAGGGTGATGCTGGCTTGGGTGCTTGACCCAAACTTCATGTAGCCCAGTGTCCCCAGGCAGATGTAGAGGGTGATGACAAGGGACATCCCCAAGTACAGAACAAAAGGAAACTGCTGTGGATCCCTCATCTGATTTTTGAGAGGCAAGACCTGAGGGGAAAGGAGATTGAGAAAGAAAGAAAAAAAAAAAGGAGTAAGAAATGTGGCACCTTGTGAAGGAGTAGGGTTCCCCCACAGACACAGACATCCTTTTCCAGGTGGCCCAGGGTCAAGAAGGGCCACACCCCTTTTAATTTTCTATTTTCTATGGCCAGGAGTGCCCTACTCCATCTAGGCTAGTGAGTAGATTCACATTCAGTCTTCAAGGCTTAGTGTGGTGCATGGAGCAGTTGGTGCCCAGCGGGTGGGTCCTGATTTTCCCTCCCATCAGGAGAAGATCACATTCTGCACTTCATAAATACTTCTGGATATCTGGAAAAGCTGGCTTCCCTAGAGGGCAACAGGGACCAGCCACGCAGAGCCCTCATCCATCTTACCATACCAACACCTTCAAATGTGAAGATGGCTGTACCAAAGAACAGCAGGAAGGTCTTCCAGCTTGCCATCAAGGGGAGGTTGCTGGGATCTGGAATCTCCTGAAAGGAAGTAGAAGAAGGACCTTCGTTTTGCCATGGCATGGACGTCATCCCCAAACGTTGCCTGGTAGAGAGTTGATAGAAAGCTGGTAGAAAGCTGGGCCATACGTGTCATCAACAGAGACACGGTAGCTAGAGACAGCTAGAGATGAATCAGCCTTCCTGTTTTTAAAAGAAGTTCTTTATTTTTTATTGTAGTAAATTACATATGGCCTAAAATTTACCATTTTATAAACATGTAAGGGTACAATCCAGCGGTATTAAGTACCTTCCCACTGAGCTACAACTGTCATCACCACCCATCTCCAGAACTTTTTTATCCTCCCAAACTTAAACTTTGTATTATTCATGAAATAGTAACCCCCTATTGCCCAGCTGCACTCGCCCCCATCACCTCATATAAGTGAAATCATGTATCTGTCTTTTTGTGACTGGCTTATTTCGCTGAGCCCGGTGTCTTTAAAGTTCATTCATGTTGTAGTACAGATCAGAAGTTCATTCCTTCTTAAGGAATACATTGTCTATATTTACCACATTTTGATTTCCCACATCTTTACATGTGGGGAAAGTGGGAGCGAGGGAGGGGAAGGGAGTTGCCCGAGGCTATTCTGCAAGTTAGGGGCATGACCCAGATAAGAATTCAGGTCTCCTGTCTTCACGTTCTCCAACGCCTCTTTCTCACCACTGCTCCCAGGGCTGTGCAGTCTAGTAGCTGGTTCAGGTGCAGTGGGAATGATTATTCAATAGACTCCTGTGACGGGCAGAACAGTGGCTCTTTCCCAAAGATGTCTATATCCTAGTCCCTGGAAACTCTGAATATGTTACATTACATGGCAAGGGAGCATTAAGTTTTCAGACCGAATTAAGGTTGCTAATCAGCTGACCTTGAAATAAAGAGATTATCCTGGATGATCTGCGTGGGTACAATGTAATCACAAGGGTCTTTAAAAGTGGAAAAGGGAATCAGAAGACAGAACTAGAGAGATGGTGGCAGGGGAAAGATTCAGCCTTACATTCCTAGCTTTGGAGAAGGAAGGGGGCCATGAGCCCAAGGCATGTGGACAGCCTTTAGAAGCTGGAGCAGGCCAGAAAACAGATTCTCCCCATAAGCTTCCAGAAAGAAACCCAGTCGGGCTGACACCTTGATTTTATTCCAGTGAGACCTACAGAACTCTAAGATAAATTTGCGTTGTTTTGAATGGCTAGATCTGTGATGATTTGTTACAGCAGCAATAAGAAAGTAACATAGCCCCAAAGACTTTCCGATTCAAAGAAATGAAGCTATAATGGTAGAATTTCAGGGCCTGTGTTAATAGCAAAGCATGGGCTTGGGAGGTAAACTGGTTGGAATTCGCAAAAAAATTACTTTCAGTTTATCAGTTTCCTTGTCTGTACACTGAGGATAAGGGTAGTACTTGCAAAATAGTATCGTCATAAAGAGTCAATGAGTTAATACATGTAAAGAACCTGGCACCAAGGAAAGAAAATTTCTTTATCATATATGCGTCCCTTGTCAACCTACCATTGTTACAATTTTTGTTGGTTATTTGTTGAGGTTTATCTCCGTCAATGAATGTAACCTCCATGAAGGCAGGTAGCCCCATCAGTTTCGCTTACCAGTGAATCCCAGCCCCATTTGCACAATGCCTGGATCACAGAAGGCGTTCAATAACTAATTGTTGAATGACTCACTGTTACCCAGTGTGACGACGACGACCATGACGAAGATGATGACTAGCTTTTACAGCTCGTGGGGCAGAAGTGTTCACACATGTCCCTTTAGCAGAGGCTGCTCGGAGCAGGTTGCCTTCCTCACCTTCACCTGCCCATAATGGTACTCACCTTCCCCAGGTGTCTCACAACCCCCTCCTGCAGTGGTTTCAGGCACAGACCTGAACGATATACTCAAAGATCAGAGCCATGCTCCCCAGCGTGGTGATGTTGGCCAGCGATGAGAAGATGGACAGCAGCTTGAGGTTCTGGATAAACACCAACAGCATCAGGAAGGGCAGGATTGTCAGCATGTAGAAGCGGATGTCCAGGATCGGGGCCAGCACCAGGAACTTCCTGGGTTGGCAGTTGTTGGACGTCATGTGGGCTTCTTCAACCATCTGATGTAGACACAATGAGGGGCAGTGTATTTAGAGTTGCCAGATTAAACACAGGATGCCCAGTGAAGTTTCAACTTCAGATAATAAACAAATAGCTTTTTAGTAAAAGGATGTCCCAAATATTCCATAGGACATACTCATAGTAAAAAAATAAAAAATATTTGCTGCGTATCTGAAATTCCAATTTAACTGTGTGTTGTATATTTTTATTTGTCAAATCTGGTAACCTCACCTGTAGTGCCCGTGACTGTCACAATAGGAAATCCTTAGAATCTTAAGATCTCAAAGCTGAAGGGTCCTTTTGTGATCTAACTCAACCTCTTCTTTCCTGCCACATGGTTTCCTTTCATTCACCCAGAGAACAGGAGTTGATAACACAAGAATATCTTCTTTAACTTAAGAGAGCCCTAAAAGCCAGAGAGCTCTGAATACTGAGTGGAATCTACCTTCTTGACTATTTCACCTAACATACTTGGCTGTTTGCGCAAAACTGATTATGCTCCCTCTAGCCCATGAAGCCAAGAAAGAATGCTGTGACTGATTCATAATGCCTCCTGGGAATGCAATGAGGGCAAGATTGCAGCTTGCTTGTCTTATATTTAGTCACCTTCTGTGTGACAACCCTGCCATACCTGAAGTGAATCTCACCAACACGTTTCAGGCTACAAATTCTCAATTATTTTTGATTGGACATAATTGCAAGCCTCTCCCTCCATCGTGGTTACACTCCTCAGATGTTGCTTTGGCTTCTCAATAATCCTTTACAAAAGTGATTCCCAGGACTGAGAGAACTCCCAAGTAGTCTGATCGGGGAGTAGAAATGCAGCCACTTTTCTCCCATGATCCGAACACTATGCTTTTGCTAAAGAAGCCTTAGGGATGTCTGTTTTTCTCCCACTCTGGCCAGAAGAAGCTTCTTTACCTGTTGTAAATTGTCTGCCATAAACATAAAATAAACACTGCAGAATCCCAGTTGGGTGGTGATTAGTAAGAAGCTGACAGTGTACCTGAGCCACAAAAGAAGAGACAGAGAGAGAAAACAAATTACTTTTTAAAATGCACTCATTTTTATTTTTTGAAGCGATCATTTCTGTTGTTATTTGTGATATTTTCCTACATTTTTTTATTTTTGGAAATTTTCAAGTTCACAGAAACAATTGAGAGACAGGTATAATGGACACTCATATATCCTTTAAACTAAATATACCACTTGTTAAATTTGGCCTTAACTGCGTTATATAAATATGTATGTGTATATGAATGTATGTATTCATCCAAACACACACACACACACACACACACACACACACAGACACACACACACACAGACACACACTCACACACACACACAGACACACACTCACACACACACACACACAGACACACACTCACACACGCAGTTTTTTCCAGAACCATTTGAAAGTCAATTGCCGATATCCTAACACTTCAACCTTGACTCTCTCAGCATATTCCTCTTAAGATCATAATATCCAGAAAATCAACTTCAATATCCTCAAATACATAGTCCATAATTTAAATAGCTCAATTATCTCCAAAATGTCTTTTATAGCTGTTAGTTATTTTTTGGATTCAGGATCTAATCATGGTTTACATATTGCATGTGGTTTTGTTTCTAGTGGTTATCCACATAGAACACGCACATTTTTTGGTTTTCCGTGACATTGGCTTTTGGAGAACAGTCCAGGCCAATTGTGTTGTAGAATGGTCCACACTGTGGACTTGGAGGATTGTTTCCTCATGATTAGATTCAGGTAAGTATTTTTGCAAGCATAACACATTAGGGATATTTTGTACTTTTTCCATCATATTGGAAACCACATGGTATCCTGTGGCTCCACTGTGGTGAAGGCCATCAGACCTGTCCATTGTAGATGTACATTTCTCTTGTTATAATCCAGAGGTAAAACCGACGTGGTATATGAATATCCCCTTCCTCTCAAACCAAAGGGTCTTAATGGTCATTGATGATCCTTGTCTGAATCAACTATTTTATCAGTGGTTGCATGGTGATGTTTTTCTAACTCTCATTTTTTCTAAATTCATCAGTTGGCATTTAAGAAAGATACATTCTTCCTCTTATTTTGTATCACAAAAAGCTGCACGTTAATTTTTTAAATGTAATGTATCATAATCTTTTATTGTTATTACTCTTTTTGGATTCTTCAATTGTCCCAAATTTGGAGATGCGTTAAGCGTGGGATGGCTGCGGACCTTAGATCAGTTTAGAGCAGTGGTTTGCAAAGCTGCTCTGTAATACCAATTGTATCAGAATTGCCTGAGGTTTATGCAAAAAATACAGATTCCTGGCTCTCATATCAGCTTATCAAATCAGAAGCTCGGTGGCATCATGGGAGACCAGAACAGAGATGTTCTCTCTCTCTTTATTATGGAAATTTTCAAACACGTGCAAAAGCAATGACAATAATCCACTGACTCCTCGTGTGCCCCTTCCAGCTTCAATACTTATTAATTTTTTGCCAGTCCTCTTCCATCTATCCCTTTACCCCTACCACACACATGCTTATTTTGTTGGAGTATTTGTAGCAAACTAGAGAACTTAAGGCACTTCATCTGTAAATAATTCCATATGCAGCTCTTATGGACAAGGACTTAAAAAAAAAATATATATATATATATATATTCATATCCAATGTGCCATTATCATCACTTGCAAAATTAATAATAATTTCTTTATGTCATTTAATAACAGCCCACATTCAGATTTCTCCAATTGCCTCAAAACAATCTATTTTACCGCTGATTTATTCATTTATTTTTTGGAGAGAGAGAGAGAAAACGAGAGAGAGAGAGAGAGAACTTGAGTGGTAGAAGGGCAAGTAGAACTGGAGGCTGATGTGGGCCTTGGTCTCACAAACCATGACATCATGACCTGAGCCAAAATCAAGAGCCAGACGTTTAACTGACTGAGCCACCCAGGCGCCCCTTCCGTCTGATTTCTAAACAAGTCTATACATTGCATTTCGTTACTATGTCTCTTAAGTTTTTAGAACCGCTATATTCCCTTTGTTCTGCTTTCTTTTATTCCTTGTAACTTTTAAGTTTTTGGTGGGGGTTGAAGACACCAGAGAATTTATCCTATAGTATGTTTCACTTACTAGATTTGGTTGATGACTTCTTCATAATGTCAGTTATCATATTTCTCCATCCCCTGTGTTTCCTGTGAACTGATATTAGATCTAGCAGCTTGACTAGATTGAGAGTCTTTCTTTATTGCTCTGCTAAGCATATTTCCAGGTCCCCACTATATCCCATTATAAGACACATTGTGTCTGGTTATCTCATTTCTAAACATGAGATGCTAAGATTAATACCTGGGACCAGGTGGTGTCAGTGTAGTCTTTATAAAGTTTCCCAGTTACCTCTCACCTTATGGCTTGAGCATCCATTGACGATTGTTGCCTACATCAAGTTCCTAGGTATCCCTTTTGCACACGAAAAATTACAAATCATTGCTTAAGACATTTTCCCAACTCTTTTGCAGTTACTGGGGCTCTAGAGAAATGGTGCATGGAATGGGTGGAAGCTAGGTGTTCTGGATTCTAGTTCTTGCTCTGCCACTAAATTCCTAGGTAACATTGGGCACTTTTATTGCCCTATCTGGGCTTTATGTTCCTCCATTGAATTGCCTGGATACGATGGTCTCTAAGGACGCTTCTTACTCGAAAGTTTTATTTGGGGTGTCATCAGAAACATAAATCTTGGTGAGAAAGGATGAGCAATTGTGAGTCATTCATTATTACTGCCCCATGACCTCACCTGTCTGATCATTAGAGTGACTCCTGGTCAAGAGACCGATGACCTACTGAGAGTCCCAAGAGAGGGACTGAAGAAGGGATCTTGGCAGCCACAATACTGACTCACTACCTCCTGAAGGGCTCTGCTGGGAAAGGCTGAAATGTTAGGTTTGGGTCGAATTTCTGCACAACCACTATCTTATATCTATTTGTGGACGTGTTATTTTTTTTCCTTATGAGCCTTGGTCATCTCATATTTCCAGGACAATAAAGACCCACCCTGCCTACCTACAAGGTTGTGGAGATGATCAGAGGAGCTAAGACACAGAAAAACATCTTGTGTACCAGGCACTTTCATCAAGCAAGGGACAGCCTGAATGTTCACCATTAAGGGAAGGCTTCAATGAAACTATGGCACACATCCCCACTGAGGAACATTGTGAACCTTAAAAAATAATCAGGTAAGCCTGGGACCATCTTAAGCTGCCACAGGACGCCATGGAGTTGATGCCAGTGTTGAAGCCTGGAGACAAGCCCAGGAAAGCAACATGGTACACCATGACACCACCCCTCCCCCACCGCCCCTAGAGACAGCTCCTGTCCTCAGGTTGGCTACAGCTGCTCGTCTTTAGCCCCAGTTGGTGATGCCAAGAGAGGGAAGGTCTTCATTGTTGGGGGGCCAGGTCCAAACAGGAGCTTCACAGATGTGCACACCATGGATCCGAGAACATACCAGTGGGATTTAGCCACCGTGGAGGGCCTTTTGCCCTGTTACAAGCATGCCAGCTTTGCTCCCTCTTGGGCACCTCATACATAGCATCTGGGTGTTTGGAAGTGCTGACTAGTCAGGAAATCAAAATTACCTGTAAGTTCTGAATCCCGAAACTAGGACTTGGACCATGCCAGAGGTGACCAGCCCCCTGCCATCCCCAAGAACATTCCACACATCATCTATAGCCATCGGAAACCAGCTGTATGTCTTTGCAGGTAGAGAGAGATGTGCCCAGCCCGTGCGGGATGTGAAGCTGCATATGTTGAAGGCAAACACTGTGACTTGGTCACAGACAGAGACACTTGGATAACCTCCATCCCCCTGGCATGGTCATGTGGTGGTGGCAGCACGGACAAAGCTCTTCATCCATAGCAGCTTAGCAGGGGACAAATTTTATGATGATCTCCATTGTCTTGATATAAATGACAGGAAGTGGTAGAAACTAAGTCCCACTGGGGCACCTCCCAGAGGCTGTGTGGCCCACTCAGCTCTATATATCCTAGAGGGATGACTCCCACAGGAGCACTGGATACCATGTATCAGTATCACATAGAAAAGTAGCACTGGACCTTGCTTAAATTTGACAGTTTTCTCCCCCTTGGACCACTGGATCATTCCATGTGTGTCATTCCATGGCCAGGGACTTCTGAGAAAGAAGATTCAAATTCTGTCGTTGTAAACTGTGATACTCAGAAAGGGGATTCCACCGACCAAGGAGTGACCCCTGGTGGTGATTCACATGACGAAAGCCATACTGATACATGCTCCCTTTTGTGTTTGGCAGGATGAATACGGAAGGGGAAATATACAGTGATTGTACTGTGACTGTAGTTGACTAACGAATCCCACGTTTTTATTAAGTCACAAAAAATAGATATAATCAGGTAGATGTCTATGTCCCAGCATGGAGAGAAATTAGCGACATGTCGTTAGATGAAAGAGCAAATTTCCAAAAAAAAAAAAAAAAATGTTCTAATTAGTGTAAAAGAAAATGCAAAATGCAATCTACATTTCCACTCACACACATATATTCATGCACATGCGGAGAAAAAGTCCAGAGGGATATTTACTAACTAGATGTATCAGTGGATACGTATTGGATGAAGAGCAAGATGGGGCTGGAGTTCTCAGGGAAGGTTCCCTGGGTTGTTTGGTGGTTTGTAAGAACATATTCACCTAGCCCTGTGTAGCTAAAAATAAAGGAAGATCAGGTGAGGATTATCATTGTTATTACCACGCCCACCACTACCAGTAGGACAACAATGAGTCGTACCTGCCCCACGCCGAGTGGGTCCTCAGCCAGGCGTTTGGGCAGGTTTCTAGGCTGTACATCATGGCCTCTCCATAGTTCACAAAAGTCTTTTGCCATCTAGGGAAAGGACAAGAATGTGTAACTGGAACCGTTTTTGTTAAAGGTGCAATTTACTCCCAAAGTGAGTTATTATTATACATTTGTGTGTTAACATGGAACATCCTGGGAATTTCCCAGTAATAGTATTGAGATATTTTATAATACACTTTAAAAGCTTTCAGAGGTAGTGCAGCCTGGGAGAACAGAGCTCGATGCCAGGTCGTTTGTTCATCGTCTGAGGTTTCAAGGCTGATGGCTGACGCTGGAGTTCTGTTCCGTTTGTTCGCCTCATTGCTTTCTTATCCCTTAAAAATAAATAAAAACGTTGAAAAAAAAATTAAAAAAAAAAAAGCTTTCAGGAGTCTGCCTTTTCTTCTTTTTTGTAGTTGTTTTTGAAACAAAAAATTTTTTTTTTTTAATTTTTTTTTCAAGCTTATTTATTTTTTGGGACAGAGAGAGACAGAGATGAACGGGAGGGGCGAAAGAGAGACACAGAATCGAACAGGCTCCATGCTCTGAGCCATCAACAGAGCCTGACGCTGGGCTCAAACTCACGACCAGATCGTGACCTGGCTGAAGTCGGACGCTTAACCGACTGCGCCACCCAGGCATACCAAACAAAAAATTTTTAATGTTTATTTTTGAGAGAGAGACAGAGACAGAGTGTGAGCAGGGGAGGTACAGAGAGAGAAGGAGACACAGAATCCGAAGCAGGCTCCAGGCTCTGAGCTGTCAGCACAGAGCCCGATGCAGGGCTTGATCCCATGAATTGTGAGATCATGACCTGAGCCAAAGTTGGACGCTTCACTGACTGAGCCACCCAGGCGCCCCTATAGTTGTCTCTTTAAACACTAATATTTAAGTGAAAGAAAAATTTTAACTTAACAGTAGCTGTGCATTGACTTAGGTCTGTAAACCAGGAAAGCAGGGACATGAAAGGTGTGAGGTGTGCAAACCTAGTTAGGGGGAGGAGGAAATAGGGGCAGAGGGGTGTGAGTATGGCCAAGCCAGTAATGGTCTTTTCTAGACTTTATTCCTTCCTTCCCACTGCTGAGGATGTTGGGACATTTGAGGTGCCTGCCTCAGACCAGATCCCATGCAAACGTGGTACTTAGGCTTTTGCCCAGCACCCCTGTAGGATGTGACACCCAAGTTCCAGTCTGTCGTATCCCTCTTCCCTAGGTGGCCCTTCCTAAGGGCAGGGAAGGCCCTACTGAGGAACCATCTCTAAGCAAGTGGGAGCAGCAGGTAGCCAAGGAACGGATCCCCAGTGCTAACTGCATGACTGAGGGGAGTAGCTGGGAGAAGGCAGGAGACCGAGACTTGGGTCTTGGGTTTAAATCCCAACACACCCCCTCAGATGGCCAGGAGACCTTGAGCAAGTCTCTTTAGACTTCTGAGCCTCAGTGTTTTTCACACGCAGTCTGGGGTTGGGGGAAGGAACAGGGACAGATGAATGTGGAGACGCTTTGGAAACATGGCTCGATCCTTATTTTTATGATTGCTCATTGTGCTTGGCATTCCAAATACAAATGAGGTCACACTGCATAGGAGTGGCAAACGTATTAGTCTGAGGGTTACAAATTCAAAAGCTATGGGGCCAGACAGGTATCAGTAATATGGTGAGAGGGGCTGGTGCACCAGAAGGGGGAACAGTGGAGACAGTAGCATATACCACCATCTGTTCTGAAAGTGATTTTTTTTTTGAGAGAGAGAGGGTGCAAGTGAGCGAGGGGCAGAGAGAAAGAGAGAGGGAGGGAGAGAGAGAAGCAGGGTCACCTGAAGCGGGACTTGAACTCACAAACCGTGAGATCACAACCTGAGCCAAAGTCAGATGCTTAATCAACTGAGCCACCCAGGCGCCCAAAGAGGGATTGTTTGGGATTTGGTGCCCCCTGAGAAATGACGGAATGAGACCCCGGAGGTGCCAGATTGTCTAATTGGCAAGGAGAAGGTGGAATTTGCTTTTTTTTTTTTTCCAATGTGAAATCTCCAGGCCAAAACAAAACAAATCAAAAACTGGGAAGCTCTTAGGCCATCAGTCTGTCACCTCTATATTAGAAAAAAAAAAAGAAAAACAAGTCATAAAAAAAATCAGAAAAAGGCTATCGTGAATGGCTGAGGTGTCAGAAACCTTCATGGTGATATAATTGTCCCAGTAGGCTTGAGGGGAGAGAAGATACGCAAAATGGTTAGAGTGGGGTCAGATCAGACCGGCCTTCGAAGACCGGCTCTGCCATGTGACCCTGAGCCAGGCATTTAACTCAACCGAGTCTGTTTACTCATCTGTGAGATGGGAATAATAATAGTGCCTGCCATAGAGGTTTACTGTAAAGAGTAAATAAAAGGCTCGTTAAAGCTCTGGCCATGTACCCGGCACGTGTAATTGGGCAATACATTTAATTGCTGAATAAGTTAAGTGCTCTTAAAAGTGTTTTGCGAGCTGGAAAGTGGCCTACAAGTTAGGTGTGACTCATGTATGCTCCAGATACACCTATTTGGGTTTGATAATTTGGCTTTATGAGGAGTTTCAGTTGATGTCTCTCTCTACTCTGACCTGGGGGGAGTTTCTGATCTTGGGAGCCCCTAAGTGCTGCAGAGAACCACCAGGCAGGTGGCTGTAAGGAATTACTAATTACCCTCGGCTTGTTGGTTTATAAATACGAAACTCTCCGCATTGTTTGTGTTCATTGTATTTGACTTCTGTTTCAGGATTTTTTTTTTTTTTTTTTGCATTGAGATTTCAAATATGTAAACACTGAGTAGTGTATGTATGCTTTATTAATGACCGGGGTCACTGCGAACTATTCATTTCAACTATGCTTTTTGCGCTTACTAAAGTGTCCCAAAAGAGGCGTACCTAGAACAAATCACCCTTACAAGGTGTGTGTGTTGGGGCTGGGGGAGGCTGGGCAGGAGGAGATAAGAAGGAAGGAAGGACATCCTAAGTATCTTGCATATTTATGGCAGTGTTTAGAGCATGCTGGCATCTTTTATCACTTTTGATCTTGCCAGGTACGGATAGTTAGGGTCAAAGGGTACAGGAACTTGACAAAGTCATCCAGCAGGTTAGCAGAGCTGGGCCTGGACTTACTTAGGAGTTTCCAGTTGGGACTTTATCATCCTCTCCACCAGCTCTATAGAATCTACGGCAGCAGGTGCAGTGGCTGGAGAAGTGGCCGGTCAACCGGGTCAGTGGTCAAAGGAAACTTAACACAGATGGGGCCTGACACGGGGGTGAGAGAGAAGCAGGATTCTCACCTCTGACTGAGGTGATGGGCGCAGTTCAACAGGATGACCATGCAGTGCACGGTGAGGACCCCAATGCCCAGCAGGCTGATGGGACCCACCTGGAAGGGATAAAGAAGTGGGGACAGTGAGCTGTAGACTGATCATTCCTATAACTGGCCCTCTCCCAGTCTGGGTGTTGGGACCCTCTCATCTAAAGCTGCCCCTGGGATGCAAGTCCCTGCCTGAATGTCCTTGTGCTCCCAGACACTCTAGTTCTTCTAGAACACTTCTTAGCATCACTGCAAAGTGGCCGCCCAATCTCTACTAGGATACTGCCCGTGACTATTCCACCACCTCCACAGACAGCCCATGCTTTTCCTCATCTGCCTTGAGTTCTGCCTTCTAGATCCCTCATTCCTTTTTCACACCCCCGCCCTCACCTCCTCCAAGATACTTGAAGACCCAGGTTCCTCTTATGACTGGGTGCTCTTCCTCCAGCATAGAGTTGTCAACAGGGGCATTAGTGATATTTTCCAGGTGAGTCTTTGTTGTGGAGGCCCTGCTTGCATTGTAGGGTGTTCAGTATGTTACTTGGCCTCTATTCAAGGTGTCAGTAGCACGCTCTCTCCCCATGAGTTGTGACAGCTTAGACACTGTAAATGTCTTAGGGGGTGTATGTGCAAACTTGTCCGCAGTCAAGAATCCTTGCCCCAGTATGTCTAATTTGTCATTAATCCTTTTATTTTTTTAAAGATTGTATATATTTAAGGTGTACAACATGATGATTTGACATACATCTACATAGCAAAATGATTACTACAGTCAAGCTAATAAAATCTTACTCTCACATAGTTTCCATTTTTTATTTGTGTGATGAGATTAAAAAACAGAGCTAGCTCATTGTTAATTCTAATCTCCCAGATATGATCAGAAGGGCATAAAGAAGGACTCTTTCACCTCCTCTGTGCTGGACACTTGTGCCTTTATAGATATGACCTGATGTAACATCACAAAGAAACAAATGAGAGATCAAGGACACCACTAGATTTCACTAGAATTCACTAGATTTCACTAGCCTCCGTATAAGGGAGACTTCCTTTGATCTCGTTTACTTGCACATTCCGAGGACCTAAGAATGCACATAGTAGGTGCCCAATATGCATTTCTTAAATGAATCATGGTCAGAAGTTCTGATGGGAGTTGGGGGGGGGGGGCGGAGAAATAATCTAATGACTCTTGAGAGGCAAAAATCAGAGGATAAAAGAGCTAACAGCAAATACCACACGGACAAAGGCAGTTTGCCTGAGGGCCATGTGGTAATAATACTCTTCAGAAGTTCTAGAACCCTGAGGATTTCAAAGGGGGAGAGTCTCATCTCTGGGTTGGAACTGAGACAGATTGGAAGTCATATCAAAAGAAGCCAGGGTCTTGATATGCCTTCTTTTGACATGGGGACCACTAACCAGGCTTGGGAGAGAAGGAGGAATTAGCATCATCTAAAAGGAGATCGTATACTTGGCCAATTCAATAGACATGAATTGGGACTTCCTGTGTTCCTGTCTCTATAGCAGGTTTTGTGAGGAGGTGTAAAAATACACAGAAAGTTCCTGCCCTCAGAGCTTTCAGGGAAGTGAGGAAGGTAGGTATACTAAAAAATTATGTCTCCTCTTTGTGAGTGCTGTAAGGATTCCAGGTGAGGTAGATAGAAGTTCTAGAAAAACACAAGGTGAAGGTGGCATTAATTTTAATAGGAAAAAGTAAAGTTTCACAGAGGAGGCAGATTTCGAAAGGCAGAACCAAGGGAGAAGGAACAGCATAAGCAAAGAGACAGAGGTGGGGTGACACAGGGTGTCAGGGGACTGGTGAAGCCTTCATCATCCTCGTCTCTCAAGCCATGTTCTCACAGCCACTATAATGGTGTGAAACAAGAGCTCAGACTCACGTATCTGCAGGGACCAGGCTACTAAGGTAAATGAGTGAAACGGGCTGGATATAGTTCTAGGGAGTGGGGAGGACTGTGGCAAAGTAGCTTGTGTGCCAGTGTGTGAGGATGGTGGGTCTTTAAGAATAGCAGTGGGATGGGGCGCCTGGATGGCGCAGTCCGTTAAGCGTCCGACTTCAGCCAGGTCACGATCTCGCGGTCCGTGAGTTCAAGCCCCGCGTCGGGCTCTGGGCTGATGGCTCAGAGCCTGGAGCCTGTTTCCGATTCTATGTCTCCCTCTCTCTCTGCCCCTCCCCCGTTCATGCTCTGTCTCTCTCTGTCCCCAAAAAAAAAAAAAAAAAAAAAAAAAAA